ATGGGAAGAAGTGCATTGGAGAGTGTGGAGGGACTGCTACACCCGAGACATTGCAATAGGTGATCACAAAACCCTATTTGGAAAAGCAAAACATACCGACCTATACAGTCCAGTCATGGTAGGAATGGGCAGCAATCCCCTTCTGCTTTACCCATGCCTTCTATGGGTGGTACAGTCCGGGACGGGCATTTTTATGAAGCAAAATCACAAGGTTATTCACTCTAGTGATCTTGTGAAACACCCCATCTCAAGGGCAAGAGTGCATAGCCATGGACAAAATGTGTGAAACAATATGGTGCACAGTGCGGATTGGGTTTTTTTTTTAGTATAAATATATCTGAGAATGGTTATAGCCATCTAAGTGGACCCCATTCAGTGTTCAGAAAGAATACCTGGTCAGACATCCCTCGCCAAATAGCAGGATCAAAGTGAAGTTGAAGCAAAGACCCCCTGATAGAAAAGAAAGCATAAGTAAGAACTTACCTCATGTCACAGCTGCACCGAAGCAATGGGGAAAATGGAAGGTATAGGATAAGGCTGCCCCAAAACCTGAGATTGAGGAGACTGACAAACCCCTCTCAAAGAACCAGATAAGGAATTCAGAGATACTGACAAATATAGGCCAAGAAGGCTGGAGATCCCGAGCAAAAGACCAGAAGTGAAAAACACTCCACTTCCATCGGTAAAAAGCCAAGGAAGTGACTGGGGTTGATGTAACAGGTCTGGAAGTAAGGGAAGAGGAATGGGAGAGATCACCTGGAGCCGAAGTAACTGATGGAAATATGGTTGAGCAGGCCAGTAAGGAGCAATCAGAGGGACTCTGCACAGAGTGGCATGGATGAGGGAGACTACCCTATAAAGTAATTGGACAGGAGGATAAACAGAAAGAAACAGGTGGGACTAATCCTGGTTGATGGCATCTATTGCTAAATAGATGGGGAACCAGAGACCAAAACTGAGGTAATTTGTGATTCAGGGTGGTGGCAAATGCATCGATATGGGGAGTATCCAAATGATGACAGTGCTACTGAAAAACAGAAGGATGTAGGGATCACTCCATGAGATAAATCTGATCTGGTCAGGAAAAACAATCTGCCACCAGACTGAATGCACCCGGAATATGAGATGCCATCAAACAAATATGATGAGAGTGGGCCCAATAGAGAAGATACTAAGTACAAAATCACAGGGATCTCAACTGGGTGCCACCTTGTTGATTGATATAACCACCACTGTAGAATTGTCGGAATGGATCATAACCAGGCGACTGCTGAAAAGAACATTTTTCTGCAGACTGATAACCCAAAACGATCGATCCATGCACCCCAGCTTTGAAGAGATGCATCTGTGAACAGATGTAATTCTGGCCGAGGAGGAGGAAGTGGGACACCCGCCAACATATGGGCCTTGTCCAACCACCAATGTAAATTATCCACCAAGAAGGAGGAAAAGTGAATAGGAGTATCCAGAAGATTCCATGCAAAGTTCCACTAGTCATGAAAGGCCCACTGAACCAAATGCATATGAGCCCTGCCGAGGGGTATGATAGGTGTCAGAGACAACCTCCTCCCCAAAAGAGATAGAACCTCACCAGTAGTAAGGAAGGAAGCAGACAGGGCTGTCTGAATGGCCAGTTCCACAGAATGGAGATGGAGAGAAGGTTGTTGAAGAAAACATTTAGATGTACAAGGTAATGGATAGGATGAAGGAAGGACCCCCCTCCAATGTGATCAACCATCTAACCTGCACAGCGTTGAGAAGGAGCTGACAAATAGGACAGGTTGACTCCTATTCAAAATGGGCAAGAAAAATCCATTTGTTCATTTAAGCATGTAAGCTCAGCCCCAGGGTATGAACATACTGAGCAAAGGGGCAAACCACTTAACAAAAACATATGGTGCAGAAGTCAGACCAGAGGACAGGGCACTAAAAAGGTATACTACCCCACAACGGGCAAACTGGTGGGAGTAAAACCCGCACAACCTGTTGGGTGAAGAGGTCAAGGAGGAAATGAGTATGATGACACCCCTTGATAGAACACCATGAACCTGAACTTTGGAGAGGAAAGAGCTGCTCCGATGAACAAAATTCATCAGACGAGCTACCCCCCAGTCCCAATCTCACCAGGCAGTCACCAGAACCGTTGCCTGCCTACAGCAAACAACAGTGAACTGGGGTACCATGGGAAGCTGGGACAGACAGGGCTGAGAAGGGTGCGGTTGGGAAATGGGACTCACAGCCACACCAAGTTCTGATAGAGACCAACAGGGTACCCTATGTGGAAGGTGGGTCACTGTTGGACAGAAGCCAACTGCAAGCCAAGAACACAATCATTTTGTCACACTCGAAAAGTCATAAAACCGGCCCATAAGAAGGTCTCACATATAAGGAGCTAGGCAACAGGTCCACGAGAATATAGTTTCGTGATCCAACAAGTCCTAAAGAGAGTGAAACATGTGTGTAAGGGCAGAGCCAAGGACAACAAGCAGCCAAGAGTGGAATGAAAGAGAGAGAGGATGCCCCCAGTAAACCTCACAGGGTTCCTGTGAAGAGCCTCAGACAGGAAGAGGATGAAGATGTGGTATTACAAACAGTGTCAGAGGAAGACCAAGGCGATAAAACGGGGCATAGGTAGCTTGAACAGGAAAATTGGGATCCATCTACCCAAATAGATAAAACTGAACGCACAACTGGTGGTCAGAATTTGGGAGCTCACCCTAAAAGTCACAAGGACGGACTGACCCAAAGCCCACAGAGAACTAGGCATACCAATGCCATCACCTAACAATTTTAACGCAGGAGTGACACATATGGCTCTTTTAGTCCCCAAAAAAACACAGGAGGCAAAAACTTTTTGAAACTCAACAAAATTCTTGCATTTAAAACTCTTTGTTGTAACACTTATGGCCACAAGTGTCAACTGCAGTGATAGCAGAAAGGGGGGACAAGTCCCTTCCACCATTTGCTCTTGGAAGACATTATATGTAATTTTCCCCCACTTTACAATCATGTGATGTCATTTCCCTTCACTTTACTATCATTGGGTTTTTTTAAATGTTAGTTTATGCTGCAAACTAAATGTAAAAGACTATGGTTCCATAAATATTCCTGTTATGAAAATAACCACAAGAACCAAAAATGTCTTCACAAAGTATTCCCGTATTTCAGATAATGAGATAATTTCAAAAACTGAATGTGACTTACTTGTTACATCATCACAAGCTAAAAAAAATCTTCTAACCTACTAATTTTCTGGCTATGGTTATTAGAAATTTTTTATAATAATTAGAATAGTCCGATCATTTTTCTAGTCAAAAAACTGTATGTATGATAATAATTAGCTGCTCTTGTACAAGAGTTATTTTTAACTATTTAGAATAATGGGTAAATGTTCTGTAAAAAAACATCTTCCTACAAAAATCTACTGGAAGTCAAGATAATGCTGACAATGTTTTATTTTAATTCAGAGGGCTATTACCAGTATTATATATATTATTTAACTCTAGTGCTCCAGGTAATTTTTACCATGATCAGTATGGTACTGATCAAATTTTGCCTCTATTAATATCTGACAAAGGTGGTCAGTAATTCAGTATCACAGGCAAGCATCTGTATACTGATTTATGTTGTGACTTAATCATTTATATTATAAGAGTTTTAATGTATCATCTAACTGTGTATTTGGCCTCAAGAAGATATTAGAAAAACATCTACACACAATTTATACATTTATTTATTTTTAATTTTCTTCATTCTCTCTTTGTATGGTTGTGAAATCCTTACCCTTCTTCTGTTCTTAGCAATTCTACATTTTAATTGCAGGGTTGAGATCATAAATTCAAATTTCTGAGCCTAACATTATAATTCTCATTAAAGAGTCTATCTTTTCAGCCTTCTCAGAGCATCTGAATTTTATATTGAGCTTTTTTTTTTTTTTTTTCACAGAAAAGGCTCTTTCACAATCAATGCTTGTTACACAAGAGCATAAAGCTATTTGAAAACAATTCTGCCATGCTAGTAAATTGATTGCCATGCAGTTTAACAACTCATTTACATAAATGTTCAGTTTCTGAGTTTTCATATGTGCCTTTCAATATGGTTTTGAACCTAGGCCATTCATTTTGTACCAAATCATGTTTGTTAAATACAGGCATCACTTGAGTTTCAGTGTTTTTCCCAGCATCATTTTGAATGTTAGTGAGTTTATTGATTCCATAAAAATCTGCAAGTGTTGTTTGTGTAGAGAAATCTACAGGTAAAATATACAATATTACTGAAACAAACTTTTGATGTTCATTTATGAGGTTCTATAAATTATGCAAATAAAATATGAAAATAAATATAAGTTATCCCTATCATGAAATTCACTGTATTAAAAAAAATGTGATTTTTTGTATACAACATACTTTTCATGTTCACTAAAAGATTGCAAAATTGGTTTGGTCCATTGCATAAACAACACTGCTAATGGCAAAAGTGATATGTGCACTTTTAGACTTACAGTCTAAAATAAAGAAAAATTACCAAGAAACAGAATGGGGGGAAATAACCAAGTTTACAAACTATTGAAAACATAGATAGCTGAGGGTGCTATCGGAGATTGTTATAAATTTTTAAATTCACATTTGATGCATTGCTATCAGGAATTTCATAATCATAACCAATCGACAGTTCGATGTATTGTTACACTTCTAGTTGTGGTTTGCTTTCTTTTTAAGCATAGTGCAAGCATCTATGTGGAAAAATAGCCATTTTCATTGTGTGCAACCAGTAGACACACCAATTCATATTGTAGCATATCATTGATAGTACATATGTATCTGATACATGTTAAATAAAATATGACACGTATCTCTCAAAACATTGTGTATTTTATGCAAACATGCTAGTTATCTGGAACACGGTATGAGTACATTAAAGTTCTTCTTTATACCAGTAGTAGCAAACATAAATGAAAATACTGGTTCAGCTAGAAGTTTAAAAATATGATTTATACATACCACATAAAGCTGTTTCCATAAGACACCCCATTCCCGTAGCACTGATGTGATTTCTTGTACTATTGGTGGTTCTTGTGGCTTGACTATCTCACTGTGACTAGGAAAATGATTTTTATATTCTGTTACAAACACACTATAGAAAAGACACATGTTTCTGGAAAAAAAAATCTTAATAATATACAAGACTTTTCAATATGATCTGAAACATTAGAATCTGATTTCATCAAAAGTATGATGTAAATTTAACATTTCCTTAGACTGAAAATGTATTTCTGATAGATATTTACTCTCATGCACAAATGCTTTCTCTATTGGTGCAAATTTTCACTCACCAAAAGCCTTGATAATCCCACTTACCATCACATATGTTAACATGAGATATCTGCATACTGAGATGCAAAAGATTATGCAGCAATCCTCCAACAATAGGATTTTGACACTATCCCAATCATAACTAGCGCCCTCTCTAATCTTGCAGCTGTTAACCACTTCGAGATTGGTCAGATCACACCAAACCACACCAGAAGTGGTGAGGACGGGTGGGAAATGTGAGTGGAGGTATATTTTGGAAATACATTTCAGCTAAAGAAAAAGTTAACTTCCGATATAATATCTTACCTCCACTAATAAAAATCCATAATTCCATATTGAACAGGTGGAGGGCTGTTGAGAAGATGATCTCCCTTTAGGAAACATCCATGAGGTGTGAGAGAGAACTAAAACAACACACCCGTGGGAGACCGCACAACTTCTGAGAAAGGTATACAGTAATATGTCTCCAACATGAGTAGGAACAAGGACTTCAAGGAAAGGTGATATAAAGGACATAAAGCCAAAGGTTAAAATAGAGGATGGGCAACAGAAATAATGGGACCTCTCAGTGTATAGTGGCTAGGGCATGACAGACCATAAAAGGGAGTTCAACCTCAACCAACACCTGGTAACATCTGGAATTGTACATCAGTTCCGTGGTAAGTAAAGGGTTCTATCTTTCACTTCAAGAACAGGTTCTGGCAAGGAAGAGGAATGTCTGTACCAAGAACTAGCCTCCGCAGGCATGCACCTCCAACACAACCAACACCAGATCCACCAGGAACCAACATCCAGCAGATGGTAGGAAAGTGGAGGGCCCAGGTGGAGTTCATCTCCACTTCAAACCCTGGCAGCAAGGGGACTTTTTTGTCCTTTTTGCAGTAGAAGAATAGTATCCAGCACCAGCTACTTGGGGAAATGGCATCCAGGGGACAGTAGGAAGGAGGGTGCCTCAGCCAGATGGGCAAACTCAAATATATATGGCAGAGTGTTACATCCAACACCTGGCAGCATTCAAAATTGAGCATCAGGTCCGCAATAGGAAAGGCATCAAGCCACCTATGCCAGCAGAATGCTACTGCTCTTTTCTGAACTGGTATTGTGCACCCTCAGGAGGATAGACCTCCAGGGTCCACCACCCCAGCAGCTAAGAACTGGTAAATGGTAATGACTCCCATACTCCACTAGAAGAAGGAGACAAAAAAATTTGTTGGAGAGTCTGGACAACCACAGAACTGGAGACTGAGATACCCTATTTTGAAAATAACAGCGATCATGTTGACAGGGTGCATCATCCAACACCTGGTGGTGTCTGGAATTGTGCATAAGATCTGTGGCAGGATGAGTGTCAAATGCCATGGATGAGTAGAGATGGGCAGTTATCACTGTCTTCTTTACTCATATTAGTCCATAAGTGTATGGTCTGGGACAAACGTATTTATGAAGCAAAAAACAGTGAGGTATACTTATGACTGGTCCTGCAGAACACCCCATCTCAATGGTGAGTGTAATATGACCTGGTTATGTGTATTACCTTGTATTTTGAAAGCGTGGAGAACATGTTGACAGAGTTGATAAAAAAAATCTGGCAGTATCTGGAATTGTACTTCAACATCACAATCATCTAGCAGGGTATGTGATCACAGGTCATACAGTGTTGATTTAAGACTAAGTATACCTGGTCAGGCAACACTCACCACAGAGTGGGATCCAAACATGTTATGTGAGGAACAGTAGGATGGGAAGGATGATAACCCTTTCAGACAGACTAATAGTGGTACTTTGGTAAACCACCATGAAAGAAGGATGAACAGGACAAGAAATGAAGGAAGCTACATATTCCGAAAGTCCAGCCCTTCTGGCGAGGGACCTGGCAAAAATTACATATGAAGTCAGTATTGGTATAGACAAATAACGCATGGCGGTGAGGGGCTGATGGATGAGTGTCAAAGATAATGGAAACTGAAGTGGAGGCAACAGAAAAAGACGATGCAGCAGTGGAAACTGCATTTGAGCCAGCCAATACAGAGCCATCAGCAGAACACAGCACATAGCAAGGACAAATGGGAAGAGCAAAATAGGAGACTATGCATATAGGTACCATCTGTCCAATCCTGACTGAGAGCATCAACTGCTCCCTCTGAAGGATGAGGAACAGGAGTCCAAAATTGGGGAAGTTATGTATTGAGATGAGTGGAAAAGTGTCCAAATCTTAGCACACAACTCTCGAAAAAGATGAGGGCACAAAGAACACTCCGTAGGGAGAATCTTGTCAGGACAGGTTAACTGATCTGTGACCAGATTCAGGGCACCCAGAATATAACATGGCAACAAAGGGATGTGATGACAGTGGGCCCAATACAAAAGATCCAATGTTTGAAAACAGAAGTTTCTCAACTGAGTGCCCCCCTTTCCTGGTGATATATGTGACTACAGTAGAATTGTCAGAATAGACCATCATCAACTGACCCCATAGAACCTGCAGAAAGTAAAGCAAAAACAGCAAAAATTTCCAAGATATTGATATGGTGATAGGACCCAGAAAGTGTCCATTGCCCTGAAGCTTCTTGAGTGTCAAGATATGCCCCCAATCAAAAAGAGAAGAATCAATAAAAAGGTGAAATTCCAGAAAAGGAGGTGAAAGAGGTACACCCATGGTAGTATTGTTCTGATCCAACTACCAGTCAAAGTCGGTCTGTAAGGGAGGGAGAAGGGTAAGAGGGGCATCTAAGGGATCTCAAACAAGGCTCCATTGATCTAACAAAAACCCACTGAAGATGATGCTTGTGGGTGCGACCAAGAGGAATGAAGGCTTCTCTCCCATGTCCCCAAAAGAGAGAGAACCTCTTATCCCGAGGGAGAGGATGAGATGCTACAAACAAGACATTCCATAGCCCTCAACTGAAGTGAAGAAGATTGTGACCAACTGAGGGAAGCATGATCATCCATAGTATGTGGGGGTCAAGGCATACTAACCTCCGAAATATTAAAAAGTGACCCAAAGGCCCATCCCTAAGAAGGGCATGGGTGGAACCATAGGAAACAGAAGATAAGGAAATAACATAACACACCCGATTAATCAATTCCATGAAAGAAGGAGGAGGTCTGGGTAAGTCCCCCAAACGACATGCAACTGAGAGGCATATTCAGAAGGGGAAAAAAATAGGTTGTCAAAATCCCCTTTTCCCAATCATTTAAACCCTGAGCAAGTATGACAGGACAATCATCAGTTTGTTGCATGAAATTGGTCAATTCCCAATGTACCAGAGCCTTCACTTTCGGTAATTCCGCTGCAGTGGTAACAGCAGTTGTAGTCGTGACCACCTAAAAAGGTGAGTACATAACTCTAGGAAATTCAAAGGATTCATAACTCTTTACAAAACAAAATGGTAAATAATAATATAACTGAAGTAGAAAAATTAAGAAAATAAAAACTTGTAGATAGGTTAATCAAACCATGAGTGAAAACAAAACACGTCCACTCAATAAGACTGCCAATCTCAAAGTGGTTAACAGCTGCAAGATTAGAGAGAGCACTAATTGCAATAGAGGTAGTGTCACACTTCTATCGGTGGAGGGTTGCTGCATAATCACTTGCTTGTTAGTATGTAGATATCTCATATTAACATATGTGAAGGTAAGTGGGAGAATCAAGGCAAGTGACAAGTGAAGATTTGTGCCAATAGAGGGTAGTATAAGTCAAGAAAGCTTTTCGTGAGAGGAGGTAAGATATTATATCGGAACTCACTTCTGCATTTGAAGTGGTACAGTATATAGCCATTTTATAACTTTCTATTAATTCATCAGCTGATTTATTTTGAATTACATATTTATTTCACATTAACAACATGGTATGGTAAGATTTAATAAGAAGTTGGAATTTAGGGATGTTTAAAAACGTACCACAGTATCATAAAGCAAATTCATATTTTGACAATAACTTTCAATGCTATGGTGAATAACACTTTAAAGGAAATGTCACCAAAGTTCCTTCTTACTATTGTACTTTATAATCTTTTCCAACCTTGTCAAATACTTGTGATGAATAATACCTTTTTTATACCTTTAAATGTTTCAAATATTGTATAATTAATATTTTTTGCTGTTAGTTGGGATAAGTTTACAAAATCCATTTATTTCCTGTGTGACAGATTACATTTTCTAGTATTATATGATTATTGTTATTTCAATAGGGTGAGTTGTTGTCTGTCACAATAACTTTAGACAACCAGCTAGAAGACTACAAGCTAAACATAGGATGATTACAAAAAATCCCAATTACAGGACTTCAATTTTCCCTGTTCAGTGCTTCCTATGTAGCTGGAGCTAGTCATAATTAACCCATTGACTGCAGCCGCTCTAAACATGTGGAATTATGAAAGCCGTACACTGTATACGAAGTTTGACAAATGTAAAATTATGTATAAAACATAGATATATCTGTTCTACTATTATACTGATCGTATTTTCTCACTTATTGAATATAAGAACTATTATTTTTGAAAGACTGTTTGTTGGATTTGTATGTTAATTCATGACCAGAAATTGTTGTAATGGTTGAGGTTTGTTAAGGTAATGTATGGCAAAAAGTGTGATAATGTTATTAACTGCACTAGTCAATCTACTTATTTTTAATTAATAAGCTGCTTAAGGTATACATAATTCTAATAAAAAAAAGTAGAGAACTTAACACACTATCTAATACTTTACTTTGGCAAAACTGTGTGGACTGGATTTTCTGGAAGTAATGTGCCAATCACACTAAGTCTACTACAAAACAGATTATTAACCAGAGGCTAACTAGACATTTAAATGCTATATTAAAAAACTGGCCTGCATAAAGTCATGGTTTAGATGATTGCCTTGAAATTAAGGGATGTGAATTCATTACCCACTGCCACCAAAATGTTTCCCATTCAGCAACATGGGGATTTTAATGTCATGGTTTCTAAACAACACATTCTTTATCTAGTCCCTTTAGGGATTTTCAATAATTAAAAGAGTGTATAATAACAGTATTCCAACCACACTATGTTTGTCAGGCAAGCTGGGATACAACAAAGCACAGTAGTAGTCAGTACACTATTTATATAAGCCATTTGATACAAGAACAGTTGTTATGGTGTGTATGCCTTTTACAAGTTGGCAAAAAATTATTACAATTATACTTGACATAAGACATTAGTAGCCATTTGATAAAACAGCAGTTGTTATAGTGTGTATGCCTTTCAGACGATGTCAAATAAATTACTATACTTATACTTGTCATATGACATTGGTATTAGGCCCATTATATTTTTAAGCACTATATTCTTTATCTAGTCCCTCAGGGATTTTCAAGAATTATAAGAGTTTAAAATAATTTCAAGTACATAAATGGTGTTTGTGTTAATGTTGTAATGAAAATTGTGCTTTTATATTTTACAGTGTGTTCAGTCTCTTTATTTCATTCTCACAAACTCAGGCATTCAGAGAAACATTTTGTTGGATCTCTTGTTACTAAGCAAACCTATCTCATTGCCCTAGGAATAATCAGTTTTACCAAAACAAACTACAACAACATGTAGTTGTGAATGATATCAGATGTAATTGTTGCAATTAACTTCATTAATTTCTTTTAATTACTTAATTTTATATTATTTAAAGTCTTTACCTGTATATTTGAGCTGGTTTCAGGTTTAAGTAATGTAAACACAGAATAATTAAAATGCTAATAACATTCAAGAGAGTGGTATTGTCATACAGTGCTTAAAACAGTACATATAATATATAATAAGATATATAATAGTGACACATATTTGTAAAAAAATTATTAAAAGTAGGAAAGTTAACCGATTTAAACATTCATGGAGGAAACACTAATAGCATCATCATCATGATAATAATAGTCAAATCTGAAACCCATATACTTTTATATACTGTTTGTAAAAAAGCAGTCTCAAAAAATCATACCCTGCTCTGTCAATGAAACTTTCCTTTGTAGAAACAAATGCTTTTGGGAAGGATCCTCTCTGGGATTGGTTTCTGACCAAACACCCAAAGTACCAGTCTAAAAAAAAAATAACAAATGTATGATACAAATACCACAAACAGACAAGTTACTTTTTAATATTTGATTTGCACATACGTATACGTTGAACCTTTTACTTGTAACAAAATTACAGAATCAGTCTATTTGCAATATCAAGTTAAATCAGTTGTTTACCTATAGCTGGTAATATTATTATTTTCTGCACAAGCTAATGTCAAGCCAGATAACTGAATTGAATAAGCAAAGTTGTTGATATTTCATCAGTTCAAATTTGACAAGACATACATTAATGTTTTAATCATAGAGAAATAAATAAGGTCAAATCATTTAAGCTATGTTTCATTCCTTGTTTGATTTTATAACAAGGAAGAAAGAATAATGACATATTTTCTCCCATAAATGGAAACATGTGGAATACTTTTTGAAATCCTATTGTCTGTGTTATTTGGTCTTACAATCCAATGTTAACTCTCGATTTAAATAAGAGACTGAGCATGATTTTTAATGTTATACTAGAATTATTATTAATTTGCCAATAAAAATATTGTTAAAAATAAATAATTACAGAAGTATGATCAAGACTGACTACATTTATTTTTCCATTTAGGTTTAATGTAGAATCTAGATGAAATCACAGATGCAGGTCATTTTAAAACAAGAAATCATCAAAACTACCTGTGAGAGTAATAGTAAATTTTAATCAAACCATCTAGCTAATTCATATATATAACAATTAGCTTAAATAATTTTCCAGACTTTCCATGACCCATATGATCATAACAATGGGAAAACCTTATTTTCTGGTTTTTCATTTATTACTAACTAATCCAAATACAACAGTTATACTTGATAGATACAGTATCTTTATTTCAACAGGGATAAGAATGAATCACATCCTGGATAAGTTCTGTTTCCATAAACTAAATAAAAGAATATTACATTTTTATTAAGACAAGTTCTACTGGGACCTTTCATCTCTTTTTTGGTTTACATCCCACTGATTTTCACTGGATCATTTTCAGAGTTTACAATATATATATATATATATACACAAATATTGTTCACATTAAAATAAATGTTTTATCTAAAAATAAAAAAAGATTTTTAGGCATGATAATTTTTAAAGTTGTGAGATGAAATTAAATAGCAATATAGTCAGAAAAAGATTGACTTCACTTTAGTATTAAGTATACAAAACATACACAAAAATGGAAGTTCATAACATCCTGTAATGAAAGAGTATGCTCACAAGTTTTTCTACTTTGAGCTAGCTGAACTCGTGCAACACTATTCTATATATGAATAAAGGTGAATAGACCTAAATAAAAGATAGTATATATGTTAAAGATTTCTTTTCTCTTTCACCAGAAGAGAGAATTTGTAACATGGACATCAAATTGATAAATATAATATCATTTTACATCACTTATCATGCGAAACAGACAGATGTTCTGCAATTGAGCATCCACAAGAAAATGACACCAGAGACAGAAGGGAATTAATGGCCCAAATAAATTGATCAATAAGGCCAACAATACACCCACAGGATCTACCTTCATACTTGAGGCAGAATACATGGAAACACTTGCAGCAGTAGTTAACAATGACTTCAGGATTCATAGTGAACAAAGTTAACAGCACAACTTTCAGTAAGGAAATCTGGCTTATGAGAAGAAAATAGGGCTTATGCACACTTTCCTGACGCATGCCCAATGAGCACTTTGGAAGGTGGAAGAGTGGAGAATTCTGGAAAGTTGGCATATGCTCCGATTTGTGTCAAGGACATTTAAAACTTAGTCACATGTTGTTAATAATATGAAAACAACTCAAGAAGAAAAGGGTTTTGGTAATTCACAGGTAAGTCTAATAAGTTTTGATTTGAACAATGTTGTGTTTCATGTTACACAATTTCTTTACATCTGTCTTGACTTTAACATACAGATGTAAAGGTCTTGAAAGATATAGGTACTGTAGAGATTCTTAATTCTTTCAAATAAATTATTCAAAAATAATTTCCCTACATTTCTTGTATTAAATAAAACAAATTAACTGAAAAAAACCTATTCTGCAATTTATGGCAAGTACTAGTATTATCTGAATTAACATTAACATTTTTCTTATCTGACAGTTTATTTCCAATAGGTACTGACCACTGTACACTTTAAGCTATCCTCCATGCACATCTGCCTCAGAGATTTGCATGCCACTAACCTTGATGCAACTCCAACCTAATCTAACATTATGTAACATGAATTGCACTATGCATGATGATGTAATCATGTGGAAAATCCTTCCACCAATAGGACGGTGATACACCTTCATGCTCACCAACTCCCTCTATGTATTTGCACATGTGAATTTTCATACTTTGATGATGCAAGTTCGAAATGTACACCAGAGGCAGGAAAGATTGGCAGGAATGTGTATCTATTTAAAATACATATCAGATAAAGAAAATGTTAACTTCTGACACGATACCACAACTCTTCACCCAGTTAAGCTAGAATCCCATGTTGAAATGATGGAGGGGCCAGTGCAAAGATTACCTAGAGGAACTCTCTTCAGAAAGCACTCAAAAGAAACTCATAGAGCATGACACCTAATGGCAGGGGCTCCATAGAGGCACATACATGGGAGACTGCATCTTATCTCTTCCAGGGTATGCTCTTTGCCTGGAAAGAAAAAGAGGAAGAGAGAAACGAGCTTCATATGTTGCAGGGATGGGCAGAATAAGAAGGTTCGAGAACAAGAGGTTCAAAATCCAATATGTGTAGCATAGTTGGGGACAGTCAGACCATATCTTGCATTCTCACCTTAACTCTATCATCAGACTTTATTGGACCAAAACCAGCTGCAGGAGGAGGGCACATGAGTCATGCCATATAGTGTGGTATGGTTTGGGCACACCTAAATTCATTTGAACAGATATCAGCTGCAGGAGGAGGGCAGAGTTTGTAAGTCTGTGGTCACCTCAAACTGAACAGGTGATGTCCACAGGAGGAGAGCACATGTGTATAGAGTATGCTCATCTCAACTCTACCATCATACCATATTGGACCAACACCAGCTGCAGGAAGAGGACATGGTTTGTAAATGAATGCTCACCTCAACTACGCAGGTGAAATCCACAGGAGGAGGGTAAATGAGTATAAAGTGTGCTCACTTCAATTCTACTGAACAGATACAACTGCAAGAGGAGAGCACAGGATTACAGTGTGTGCTCACCCCACCTCAACTGAACAGATTCAAGCCACAGGAGGAGAACAGGTGAAATTTGATATAGGAAGACCTAGATGAGATATAGGAACAAAGGGCAAGGTCAAAATCTAGGAAAATAGTGAAGACAGAAGTCTTATGACAACAGTTTCAATAACCAGGGGAAAAGGAACTCCACAAAAGACATCTGGGCAAAGAAAGGGAGCCAAACAAAAAAAAGAGATACACAAGGAGAAGGAAGGGATATAGGAAATAGGAAAATAAGCCAAATCCAATGAGTCCCAACAGTAGGGGAACAAAGTATAGAGGGATAAAATAGAAGTGGAACACGCTAAACAGAGTAGAGAAAAATGCCTACAGAATCTAACATAAGCACGAAGAAGTGCTTCAGATAAAAGGTAGTTTCTGTAGTGAAAGGGGCACAAACCCCAAACTGGCTAAATGGATACCAAAGACAGAGATTCATGAAAAGAATAGGAAGCAAGTGTACAAATTAGGACAAAATGAGGCATGAAAATGAGGGAATGAGCCATTTAGGTGTGAGAAAAATAGTTATTAAAAAAAGAAAACAGCATAAAACCTACAAACAAGTATGGAGAAAAAGACAAGGTAAACCCCAAGAATAGTGTGTAATAAGGTGAGATACAAAAATAATAATAATAAACACAAGCAAAGGATAAGGAAAGGAACAAGTGTGAAATGGAAAGCCAGAAAGAGGTTGGAAGATTAACTTTCTTTACACGGGCTCGGTCAAATTGACTAACCACGTAAACACTTTGTACTCATTTAAAGTTATTATAGTTTTGATATTACCAGTGGCATAGCAAGAGAGGGGGAAACTTGGGCAGTAGCCCCCGGGCCCAGGTGTGAAGGGGCACAAAACTTCCTCTGGCATATAATGCCTATTAATTAATAATTATGCCTTCCCCTAGGATATAGCACAACTGCCCTACGTTAAGTAAATATGACACAGTGTTACGTTATTTGTGTGTATTATGCTTGCAGTTTTAACTTTTAAAAGCCACCCATGAAAATACAGTGAGACCGAATTGATGTACAGAAGTAAATTACACTATTCCATCATTCATCTGTAGATCAAATACAAGTCCTAGAGTACAACGTACAAGTAAGTGTATGTTCAACAAAAAGAAAATACGAGATTGATGTAACATATTAACTGGTGTGCAAGATTGGCAATATATGCAACAGGCAAGATCTAGATCTAGTAAACATTATAGGCCTAATGTAGTGGTTTGTAATTGTATTGGCTGATTGTAAATCATGTCTTACACCAACTAATGTACTAGACTTTAGATCTAATTGCAGTTACAACTTTATTTCTAGACGCTAGGTCCATCATCATACAAATTGTAGCCTATATTATAGGCAAACTTAGACCTATACTAACTATTAAAC